TGGATGGATGGATGGATGGATGGATGGATGGATGGATGGATGCATGGATGGATGGATGGATGGATGGATGGATGAATGGGAGCCTGACTCACCGATTTGCGGTGTTACTAAATGCAACCGACAAATTGCACAGTTTTCCTGCCCCTCCCCCGCCTCCGCCTCACGCGTTACGCATTAGACAGGAATATCAGCTAGGCAACGTGACTAAACGCGGCGGTGGTGGCGGCTAGAAAAAAGGAAGATGGCCGCCAGCACTGCCTCCGTGTTTATCTCGCGCATCGAACGGTTCACGCACGCAAAAACTCAAGCATGAGCGCACACACGCACGCACGCACGCACGCACGCACGCACGCACGCACTCAAGCATCCACGCACGCACGCACTCATGCACACACGCACTCATTCACTCAAGCATCCACGTACACACGCACGTATTCACGCACTCACTCATGCACGTATTCACGCACTCACTCACTCAAGCATCCACGTACGCACGTACGCACGCACGCACGTACGCACGTACGCACGTACGCACGCACGCACACACACACCCACACGCACGCACGCACGCAAGTACGCGCGCACAGGCAACGTGTCTGATATCAGTCTGCTGGCCATGCGTAACCCTCTCATCCTAATATAGCCAGCGATGCCCGCACACACGCACGTACGCGCGCACACCCGCACGCGCGCATCCCGCAATGCACCGTGTATGGCCTCCACCTCCTCCTCCCCCTCTCCTCCCCTATCCTCGCCATCCTTCGCAGCCTCCCCCTCCTCTCCTTCTACTCCTGCTCCTCCTCTCCTCCTATCTCCTCCCGCTCCCCAGCTTTCCCCTCTTCCTTTCCTTCCCCTTTCCCCTCCTCCTCTCCCTCCCCCTCTCCCCCTTCTCTCCTCCCATTGCATCCTCCTCCTCTCCCCACCCCCTCTGCGCTGCACTGCTGGAAGCAGTCACCGATTTTGGTTGGCATCTGCATGAAGGCGGCCGGTCGCACGCGGGAAAAGAGGCCCGCCGCTGCCGTGGAGGCAAGGCCACGATTTGCTGCCGCCGATGGAACTCTAAAACCTTATCCGACCTGCCGGGCCGGCGGTAATGTATCCGATGAATCGACAGCTGCTGCAGCATCAGCATCCTCGTCCCAGCATCCCCATCCTCATCCCATCATCCCCATCTCAGCATCCCCATCTTCATTCCAGCATCCCCATCCTCGTCCCAGCATCCCCATCCTCATCACAGCATCCCCATCCTCATCACAGCATCCCCATCTTTATTCCAGCATCCCCATCCTCGTCCCAGCATCCCCATCCTCATCACAGCATCCCCATCCTCATCACAGCATCCCCACCCTCATCACAGCATCCCCATCCTCATCACAGCATCCCCATCCTCATCACACCATCCTCATCCTTCTCCCAGCATCCTCATATCTCAT